TGGGTTGACGTTTCCACGACTGGCGGGCCTCAGTTAAATCTCAGCTACCGTTGAGGCCTCAACTGTGAGCAGTGGATCTCGGGTACATGATATTGTCGACCTAGTAATGGTTGTCCGGCCCCGGCGGCGAAAGTTCAATATTAAGGAGTCAGTGTATCGCGGGTTGAGTTCTGTCGGCCTTCGAAGGCGAAAGTGCTGCCTATCTCAGGGGCAGAGATGCAAAGGACAAGTAAGATCTGCCACAAAAGGCTTCGGGGTTGCTACTTTTCTGCAGAAAAATCATCAGCTACATTTTTTTTCTCGGGCTTCCCTACCTGTTGCCGTTTTTTTTTTCGCTTAGAATACTGTGCTAGTTTTTTTGGGGTGCTGCACAATGCGATTTTTTTTACAGTATTACAGCCATACATATGGCGTGTTCACAGCCAGTTTATATCACGCATCGAATATTTCACTTGAACACCAAACTCGATGTCGTCACTCAGACAGCCGAAGCGATACAACACACGAGGGTAACACATCCCCTACAATTCATACACGTTGGGAATCGAACACTTCCTGCTTGCGCGGAAGAGAAAAGATAGCTACAGAGGAAACCATCTGACTGCAGCATACCCGAAGATTTCGTTGAGAGAACGTTGCAATAGGTACCCGGCGGAAAGCACTCAGAAACCTTGTTGGAAATCTGCGGATGCTAGGGAAGTGTTGCTTCGCTTCGAGGTGTTCTCTGATCATCCACTTTGACTCATCCGGAGGGCCCGGGAATGCGGCAGGGGTCGAACGACGCGGCGACGGTGATTCAACATCACCGTTGTGGTGGGAGGTTCTGGTCAGGGGCTGCTTGGTCGTGTTTGGCAGTAGCATCATTAGGTCATCATCTGTCTTTGCTAGCAACCGCCATCTGCAGGCGCTCCCCCGCTATCTCGGAGTCGGCCCACCCCATTTTGGTGATTGGAGTAGGATTCGAACCCTCGCGCTGCCTCAGGACCAGACCACCGGGACTTGGACGATATCGTTGGACCCGCAGACCCGCAGAATCTCGCAGTGAAGAAAAGTCGTGTCGTGTCGTATCCGCAGATTTCGCCGTTTCCGCTATCGCTATCGCTATCGCTTCGCCATCCTCTCGCAGCCCACCCCCGCTAGTGCTGCGACCGTCGACGCACCCCGCATTTTCGATGTCCGCTCCGCCGCACGATCCGAAGATCGAGCGCATACTGCTGCAAACTGTTCCGTGGGAAGCGAGGAAAGAAGGGGGGAATGTATTGCAGGACTGCCTGCGGGATTTGTGGGCAAAGGCGGTGAGTATTGGCTTCAATCACGGGGAGGAGAATCTCGCGCGCGCAAGGGAGGAGGGCTTTATTGAAGGAAAAGAGGCAGGATTGAAAGACGGTATGGAGTCTGGAAGGGAGAGCCAGGAGGCTGTTGAAGCCGTTGTGCTTCCTGCAAGCACGTCGGAGAAGCGGACTGTTCTGTCGAAGGAGGACAGCGAGCTCATCGCGGAATTGTGTTCCGCAGTACGGGCCGCGAAGGCTCTGGAATGGCTGGACGGCGGGAACGGCCTCGAGGAGGCGATTTCCAAGCTGTGGGAGACGGCCGCAGGCGTAGGATTTCAATGCGGGCGGTCGAAGGCGAGTGTTATCTTGTCTTCCCCTCCCCGCCGTTCTGTCGCGGTCGCCGCTACTCAAACGGACGAGGTCGCCGCTTCCGCCGCCGCACCTGCACCCGCACCCGCAGTCCCGCGTTTGGATTGGGCCGAGGATGCAGCGGCGCTCCCTGTTGTTCCCTCGCATTCTGCATCACCACCGGTGACTCCACGCGATTTTTCCGCGCTTTGTACAGGTTCCCCGCAGCCGTTTGCTAGTTTGCAGCGGCGCCGTCGACGACCTCCGACTTCGACGTTAAATCACTCGGCACATCGACGAAAACCGCAGCAGAAAAATGTTTTTTACTGTTCAACAGGACGACGCGCACCGCTACCATATTCACATCGACCACCATCCATTCCATTCCCCGCGCCGACTTCGCTTCCGCCGTCCGACGCGCTCGATTGGGATCAAGATCCGCGCCTTCGTGACTTAGGTCAGGCGCTCGCGGCGTTGGGATGGGTTAGATTGTAGGTGGGGCTTGGAGTTGGTTCCATTGGCGACGAGGACGTCGCCATTTTCTGTTGGGCATATGTGGTGGGAGGTTCTGGTCAGGGGCTGCTTGGTCGTGTTTGGCAGTAGCATCATCAGGTCATCATCTGTCTTTGCTAGCAACCGCCATCTGCAGGCGCTCCCCCGCTATCTCGGAGTCGGCCCACCCCACCGTGACGGCAAAGGGGTGAGAAGAATGGGATCAGAACACGGCGTTTTAGAACACATGGTCGCAATTGGCGAACTGGATTCTATTCCGCATGGACATTTGCAAACTAAGGTTGGATTGAACAGTGTTCGATTACTTTTCGATGATCGTAAAGTAATGACACGGCTGGCCGCGCCTACATAGCTCGACTGGTGAACCTCAGGCCCGCTCACGGCGGTCAAACAGATTTGTTGTCAATGCAAAATCACCGACTGGTCCAATGCGATATCAGTGTTGAACAGGGAACGATTGATGTACTCCGCGTCGAGGGTACAAGTGGGAGTACGCCGGGGCCAACCTCCGGGATCTATACTTACACCGATTCCGCAACTGCCAACGGCTGCGGTAGAGATCGGATCTGTCTACTGACGTGGCGTGGCGCTTAAACAGCGTACTTATTACAAACTGGTGCACATTGCTCCACCTGAGCTCGGCTCCCTACTGGAAACAGTCAGTGTGCAGGAGCAAATCCACAATTTTGCTAATCTGTGCGCCGGGTGTTCTAGATGTCCACCTGGATGCCGCCCGAGCTGGCAGACCGTATCATCGACTTTTTGTGGGACAGTCAGCCCGACCTCCACGCATGCTCTCTGGTGTGCCGGCAATGGCTGCCCTCGAGCAGGCATCATTTATTCGGCTGGGTCACAGTCCGTCCCACGCTTGAATTCCTCACTCTTCTCCAATCTCCGTCGAACCTTGTCCCAAATAATGCGCGGCAGCTGGATTTTCGCCTTTGGCCGCGGGAAATGGACTCGGTTACTTCTCAAATACTCCACCACTTGGCCAAAGCTTGGCTTGTGAAAACGATAATAATCGGGACTTTCCCCCCGTCAGTCCCAGATTGTCCTGTCCTGTCCCACGTTTCAAAGCTCTGCTTCCACCGCACCAATTTCCCTTCATTCGCCGACTTTGCTCGCTATCTCGGGCAATTCCCCGGTCTTCGCGATCTGGAGCTGAGTTCGCCTACGTATACCTGGCCAGATGCTCGGGACAACATCTGTCCCGAAATTCCACTCGAGCTGCAGTCGTTGGCCATACACGGCGTCCAGCGAAATTCCGCCATACTGCCGTGGTTGGCTTCCCCAGAGTTCGCGCCACGGACGCGCGGGCTCTCCCTAACCTTCCCTCCCCAAGTCGACAACTATGTACTCGGCGTGCTCTCCCAATATCTGCGGCACCTTGACGGCTGGTTGCAATACCTGCAGCTTGACGTTCTCCCTTCTCTACATTTAGATGGTGTGTTACCAGATTATACCGCAGGTCGAAAACTTTTCTGATAACTATTTTTGCACACAGAAACAATCAAAGGACTTGAACTTGACAAGCTCTCTGGTCTACTGTGCCTTCGCCTCGGCCGAGGCTTATACTTCAGCATCCCCCGTGTACCAACGACGCCGCCCACATGCAGAACCTTCCCAGAAATTCTCGACATCGCCCACCGTTTCAACTCGCGGAATCAGCTCACAGAACTCATTTTGGATGTTGAAATCGCACCGAATCTGTGGTTCTCAAAGTCCGACTCCGATTTGCGCTTAAAGGAGTTCCTTGCGAAGCCGGGTGTAAATAATATCCCAACTCTGCGGTTCTGTATCCTCCGCGGCCGTGAAAAACGCCAAGCCGTAGATGCGCATCGCCAAGAATTTGTGGCTTTCATACGGGAGAGAGAATTGATATCGTTGGATCGCAAAGTGTTCTGCTCAGACGAGAATGGTACTAGGTATACCCTCTGTTAACTTCGTCAGAGCTTGTGCTCACACGAAACTTTTCAGTTCATTAGGTTCGGCGTGAGTGTAGTGAATGGCGGTTGTCTTTGTTGTATGTGCGTGCGTACCCCTACTCTGTCTGAATGTTCGACTGCACCAGTTGCTCGACATAATGAGATAGTCCCCCAAAAAAAACGGAACTATACCCGGGCGCTGCTGATATGAAGGTGGATAGGACGAGGGATGGGGGTACCGGTACGTAGACGACACTCCGCCAGCTTTTACTTTCGCGCGCAAATCCTGCCTTTGAACTTAATCCGAAACGATGGGTTTTTTTTTCTTGTGCTCTCAAGCTCGTTGATTGCCATGCCAAAGACATGGGCATCAAGACTCGGGTTTGAACGCTTCCTCGAACCGGAATTGGTAGAGAACAATTGCATTGTGCTTTGGGGTCAACTTTGAGCTACGTGGATGAACAATGCAAAAGTTAAGCAGCCAGCTTTTTAATTACCTCGATCCTGGGTTACCCGTGACAGTCAAAATGGGTCGGGGTCTTTTCAACCAGCGCGGGTATTTGGCAATGATTTTCAAAGCAATTTCTCCACGCATTCCGAGAGGGAGATTCGGCAAAAGAAGAGCGAGCTGAAATAGAGCGAGCTGAAAGAACGACGGAGCCCATTGACACACGCGGGCGCAGGGAGTCGAACCCCGATCTGCCGGCTACTGCGTGGGTCTACGTACCAGAGAAGCCGGCCGTGTTCCGTAGACCACGTCCCATTATCTTACGGGGTGAAGTGGGTCAGCACAAATCCGGTTTGTAGCGGACAGATTAAACCTTTGCACCCGGAATCGTTTAAGCAAAAGAAGCATTCGGAATTGGGGAAGAAACTTCGAAGCGAGATTGACAGTTGAATCAACTTGAACGGGGTAAAAAAGGGTTGATGGATGGTCATGGAATTCGGACGCGGGGACTCGAACCCCGGACTGCGAGATGTGATTTTGTTGAAGCTCGGAACGTCAACTCGCGGTGTGCCGTACACCACGCCCGAATATTCGGCTTGTTCATTCCTACGTGAGCAGAGTGAGCGAAACAGCTCGAGTTAACCACAGGTTTATTTGGCAGCCGGCTGAAATTCGCATCAAGGATGGCGGAATTGTTGTGAACGCACCGGTCATGATCAAAGACCGTCTGCTGCAGCGGGAGGTGAGCCTGCTTGTGCGAATCCAAGGGCCAGGGGAGGCGCTGAGTCTGAATTGAGTGAGGAAAAAAATGGCAACGGGGAATACCGCATTCGGACGCTGGGAGTCGAACCCCGAACTGCCTGCCACTGCTATGCACGGAAAATATAAAGAGCAGCTGGCCGTGTGCCGTACACCACGCCCGATTAGCTTTCCCTCCTTGAGCGCAACGTGAAGTTGAGTTGAAAAAAGCTGGCTGAAATTCACAATGAACAGCGGTGAATCACTGGATATACACGGACCGAGAAGGGCTTCAGACGACACGACGTCGCGGTGCGCAGTAGCACGAGGGAAGGAAATGAGCCTATCTCAACGAAAAGAAAGAAAAAATGAGAATGTACAGAGCTCCCATTCGGACGCGGGGAGTCGAACCCCGACCTGCCGGCTACTGCGTGAGTGTACGTGCCAGAGAAGCCGGCCGTGTTCCATACACTACGCCCGATTATCTTACCACTTGAATCCTGGGTGAAGATAGTCAGTACAAATCAGGTGTGTAGCAGACATATCGAAACAAGTTTGCACCTGCAATCATCGAAGCAGACGCATTCTGATTTGGCGGAGAAACTTCGAAGCGAGATTGATTCGCCGAGGTACGTCGTGGGATTGGAAACTTGGTTGAACCAACTTGGATGGAAAAAAAGACCTTGGCCAACTGATGAGTCGGACGCGGGAAGTCGAACCCCCGGATTGCGAGATACCATTGCTGCCCGATAGTTGGGTCTGAGTAGCGCTCGCGGTGTTCCGTACACCACATCCGATTATCCTACCCCCTTGAATTCTGGGTGAAGTCGGTCAGTACATATCAGGTTTGTGAGTTAGCGGACAGATGAAAACTTTGCACCTAGAATCGCTGAAGCAAAAAGCCTCATTCCGGTTTGGCAGCGAAACCTCAAAGCGACCCGAGTTGGTTCGTGGGATTGGATAACCTCGTTGAACCAACTTGGATGGGAAAAAAAAACACCGTGGCCAACAGTTGAGTCAGGCGCAGGGAGTCGAACCCCGCATTGCGAAATAGTTAATGACAGATCCATCATACTAGAACCGCTCGCCGTGTTCCGTACACCACGTCCGCTATCCAGCTCTATTAAATTGCGGATGATGAAGGCGTCAAAAATTGGCTGAACAAGGGATTCCACCTGCGAGATCGACCTGGCGGAGCCACCTTAGATCTTTCTATCACATTGGAGCGTGAGACATCTGCCCTTGGTGGTGATAATTGCCAGAGGTTTGCATATCCAGAGAGCTCCGGTAATGAGTAAGAAAAAAGTATCACCGGTTTTGTGAAGTTCGGACGCGGGGAGTCGAACCCCGGACGGCGAGATACTGTCTGGTGTATTCAGCAGCTAGTTCCGCCCAGGTGCGCTCGCAGTGTGCCGTACACCACGCCCTCATATTTATTATTTCCTGTGTGAACCGGGCGCCGAGTGAAAACGGTGTGCGGCCCCGGAGCCGGGCCGTACACATCCGAATCCATGCGACTGCGGGATCCAGGGCGCGTTTTCCCGAGCGATGTCGGCGTCGGGAGATGGAATTGGAAGAGACGAAGGCGCGTGACGATGGATGGGAGCAAGGTGGGGAGATGGGAGACGGGAACAGAGGCCGCATCATTGCCGTCACTTTGATTACGCATCACGGCATCTGACAGCACTCTTTTCAGGCTTTCCTTTCACCAACCTTCACGGCGTTCGTTCCAGACATCTTAACGACCCCGACTACAATGGATACTGCGTTCCTTCTGTAGTTCACAGCGTCGGAGGGCCTCCGAGCATGAGAGACAAGGCGAAGGCAAGCTAGTCTGCCTCGCAGCACTGGCAAGACAACCCTCCGACGATGCCACCTATCTTGTCGGCGACGACGAGGGACGACTACACGGACAGCATACTACATCCACGCAGATGGCCTCCGCGCACGGAATCGATATCCATCGGTGCTGGGAGCCACGTCTCGTATCGTGCGATCGCGGTGAGGATGGACTGGCGACTGGCGTCTTGCGGATGGGGATGGGAATGGAATGGCGGGATGGCTCGGGATGAATATGGGGGTGTGCGTCTCTTTTTTTCCTACACGTACGTCTCCCTTCTGTACATTCTGGCGTATGTACTCCCGCTCAAGGATGCTCATCTAGCTTCCCCACTCCCGCTCCGCTTCCACGAAGACGCGACGAAGATACGGCCGTGCGAGCCACACCAATTCCTGGCTGCGCCAGCGCGTTCCGCACTCTCAGGTGCATCTTATCTGCCACGTGCGTTGCGCTCGACATCTTTCGCTCACTTCTAATCCTCATTCTCATTCCAGGAACGACTACCGACTGTCACGATACGCCAAATCCGAATGACCCGCGACGAGAATACGAAGAGATGAAGATACGAGACAAGAGCAAAGACTTTTCCTCGAGCTGACGCGCGAATACAAGGTGTGTATCGTGACGTTTTTCTGCCTACATTTTCCATTTTCCCTCTCTTGTGTGTCGACCGTGCATCTGCCACCACGACGCGGAGACTGCGTGGCAGATATCGGTCCTCCTTGCGCGTGTACATACTTGTATATCTATCTTCTTTCCTGTTCTTCGCTCTCTCGTCCTCTCTCCCATCTCGATCTTTGCACATGCTGATATCGCCCCCGCCCCACAGTATTATGCTCGAAAGCCCATCCCGATTGAAAGCCCGCGCTGTATCCCGACCCGCTGTGCCGAGGTGCGCTTCCTCCTCCTTCTTTCCTCTCATCTTCGAATGCTCATATCGCCCCCACAGTATTATCCTCAAGATCCAACCACTCGAAAGCGCATGGCCACCACCGCCGTGTCCCGCGTCTCGAGGAAGGTGCCGACTTCTTTCCTCTCATCTTTGAAAGCTAATATTTCCCGCGGCCCACAGTACTACTCGAAACCCCACCCAACTTCAAGCCCCTCAAGCCCGCGCTGTGTCCCGCGTCTTTGCGTCCCGAGGAAGGTAAGGTCTTCTTCTTTCACCCTTTTCAGATGCTGATGCCTCCCCACAGTGCTCGAAAGCCCGCTCGACCCACCCTCAAGTTCCGCGAGCCCACACTGCATCCCGCGCCGCCGTGTCCCGATGAAGGTGCGCTTCTCGCTTTCCCTGACTCTCTTGGAAACCTAATCTCGCCCCCGCAGTACTACTCGAAACCCCATCCCACCCCACGTCAAGCCCGCGCCGCCCGGTCCCGCACCGACGTGTCCCAAGGAAGGTGCCCATTTTCTGCTTTCTGTGACTCTCTTCAAAAGCTAATACCTCCCGCGCCCCGCAGTAGTCATACACTCGAAACCCCACCCCTCAGACTAGCCTGTCGAGCGTGTGCTGAAGGCGCGCTCTTCCTCTTCTCTGTTTTCTCGTTGCTTCTTCGTTCTTGCGTCCTGCACGGTAGCGAGACGCATCACGCCCCACCCACGCGAGCGCGGTGTGGTGGTATCGCGGGATGCGGTGCGTTGGCGCTACCCGGTGCGGGTACGGAGCGGGTGGGGAATGCCGTGGCCATGCGCCAGTCGAAAAAGGATCGTGTGCGGTGCCCATACCGCGGGAGCCGCTGCGCGTAGGAGGTGCGGAGGGCGCTAGACAATGACGACAATGAGGAGTAGCTGCAGCGGCGTGGGAAGGTGCGCGTGCAAATCTTCGCTCGGAGGAGTGTTGCTCGTCCGGGGAAGTGTTGCTGGAGCTGGGGAGGGTGGATTGCGCATGTCGCGAGGGTCGCTGTGGGCGCCTGGGTCGGGATATGATACCGCGGGAAAGCGAATGGGACGAGCGATTAATGGCGACGATGAGGCATCTTTGGAGGCGGCGGGAACAAGCCCCTAGGCCGTGATGCGCTGCGAGGGACGCGCAGCGACGATGCAGCGTGGGTGCGATGAATCCATCGCCCACGCAGCCGCCGCATTCAGGCGCAGGGTCGAAAACCCCGGACTGCTGGTTCACTTCGTGAAGCGTGGAGAGAAGCCGGCTGTTCCTTACACCTAGCCCGAGTATCCGTCTTGTTCATTCCCGCGTGAACAGTGACAAATGGTGTGGGCGCTTTTTTTGGGCAAAAAAACGACGATATGACCCAGTATTCGGACGCGGGGAGTCGAATCGAACCCTGGATTGCCGACGGCTTCGAATGGATATTTGCAAGGCAGCTGGCTGTGTACCGTACACTACGCCCGAGTCCTCGTCCGATTGTGTCCTGTGTAACCGCGGGAGTGAATCGCAGAGTCTGTGCGGAGGGAATGTGTCGGATCAGCTTGAAGTCGCGGACGGAATCGCGGTGAACGCGAAGCAAGTTCAGTGGCCGGGAGACTCGGAATTTAGTGAGGGCAAAAGGAGAAGAAAGGGTCCGCTAATACATTCGGACGCGGGGAGTCGAACGCCGGACTGCGAGAAACTGTCGTAAATATATTGTAAAGACGACCTCGCGGTGCCGCACACCACGCCCGATGGATTAGCTTTCTGTTTCGTGCACAACGTGTTTGCCTGGAATCGTAACTGCGCGCGCCTTATTTCTCGGAGCCGGCCAGTGGCCACCCGCTATGTTGAATAAATTTATAACCTGTGGTGGAACTGTGAGAAATGCCGAAAGCCTGAGTTCAGACGAAAACACTCACCTCCGGTCGGCAAAAAAAAGGGCGGCAACCAGGAAGTTCGGACGCGGGGTGTCGAACCCCGGACTGCGAGATACTCCAAGCGTTGACGTGTATCTGCAGGTGTACTCGCGGTGTGCCGTACACCACGCCCGAGTATTCATCTTGCCCATTCCTGTGTGACGTGGGTAGAAACTGTGGCCGAACAGCGAAAGAACTGGCCTAGTACCGTTTTTTTTTGAGTGCGATCTTTGGCCGTGGTAGTTGGATTAGCCGACGTTGTTGGAGAGATTGGTTGCAGTTGGCTCGGTTGAACAAATCGGTACAAAACACGAAGAACGCAGATGTGACTGATTTCGGACGCGGAGAGTCGAACCCCGAGCTGCTGACTACCTCGAAAGTAGCATTCAAAACAAAGAGTAGATGGCCGTGGTCCGTACACCACGCCCGAATATCTTTACCTCTTGAATCCTGGGTGAAGCTCGTCGGTCAGAAATTCAAATTCGGGTTATTTGAAGGTCAGACACGAAAAGGACAAGAAGTCCAATACGGGAGACTCACACGAAATTGGGCGGTTCAGGCGGAAAACGCCAAAGTCATCCTGCGACAAAATGAAACAGGAATTGAATCAAAGAAAAAGGTGGCCCTTTCGACTTCTGCATTCGGGCGCGGGGAGTCGAACCCCAACTTGCGAGTTACAGTAGTGAATCCCGGGGAATGGAGCTCGCTGTGTTCCGTACACCACGCCCGCATATTTGGCCTGTTAATTCCTGTGTTACAGCTGTTTCCGAATACAATGAGACGCGTAGATTTTTTTGCCGGTGCTCAACTTTTTTTTGGAGTGATAGGGATTCCCTTTTTTGGTCGCAGCTCCGGGT